GAGTTGGTCTAAGGCGCCAGATTAAGGCTCTGGTCTATTCGTAGGCGTGGGTTCGAATCCCACTCTCCTCACTTTTTTTACTTTATTTCAGTATAAGCACTTCGCAGCCTTTATTCACCCCTATTGGTGCTGAAGAAAACGGTAACTCTGATGTTTCTGTAAGCTGATATTTGACCAACTGTTTATCAAATATTTCTTTTAAGAATGTTTTATTAGGTATCATCATATGGACCGGTATATCTGAAACAAACAAACTATGCCATTTTGATTTATCTCATATTGATGTACCAAATATTTCTTTTAAGAATGTTTTATTAGGTATCATCATATGGACCGGTATATCTGAAACAAACAAACTATGCCATTTTGATTTATCTCATATTGATGTACCAATCACTACTATCACAGTTAGCGTCAAAAGTATCTTATTATCCAGTTGGTCGTTTTTTCGTCACGTGCCTTTGCGGGACAGATGGACAACGTTCGCGAGCATCGTTCCTACATCCTCGATCCAACAATCAGTCAGTCTCTTTCAAAGATCTTTGAAGATGATGAATGGAAATCTTTGTGCTTAGAAAATCTCATTGATTCTGTCAAGAATAAGCAAGAACAACTTGAAACTGATCAATGTGACATGGTTCTCTTTTCGACTTCAACAGATCCGTCTGGAAAGGTATGATTATGCTATTCGTTTGGTTCCGAAACGTATTATGGTTGACATATGTATATGATGTATGTGTTTAGAATCAAGGATGTTGAGGAAGTCGACCTGAAGCTTCTTTACTCTAGCATCCTGACAAAGCATCTAGACGGTTCATTTGCAAATCCATAATTGGCTATGACGATCCAAGTGATGAGGAAGAGTCTATTCTGAAACCACAGTCTGCAGGGTTTCAAAAGCGATATCTCTTTATGTCATCCTTATCCCGTCTCCTTGTTGCCAATCGAGAAGTTGTTACTTTACATTACAACTTTGATAATGGATCCAAGCAGCTGTTCGTGACTTCCAACCACAATGATTCCATCGACAACATTAGACAGCATCTTCAGATCATCATCAATTGTATTCATGACCTCATTAGAATGTTGGCGAATGACCATACGCAGGAGCAAATAGAAAATTGGGAGGAGGATCTCACTCGATACATTGTTCAATACGCTAAAACGAAATTGGCGAGGAGATTGGATCATTTGTTGCAAGATGTTGGGATGAAGCAGCTGGATTGTTTTGCCAAGGTCTCGGAATATCGGACTGTTGGTCGGTTGGGTGCTGCTTGTGTTGTTATTGCTCAACATATGACCCCCGACTTTACGGAGACTGTGAAAAAGAACGACCCTCGATTACATCGCCGGCTCCTAAAGGTAGCAGATTACGTCCGCTTTGCTCTTCATGTCTCTAAAATGTGCAAGCAACAAAAATATCGACAAGCACTTTCGAGCATCAGCAACGTTCAGTTTTCGAAAGATACTGCAATTGATACGCACGTTTGGACGTACGAGAAGACTATTTCAGCCTTTGCCACAAAGCTGGACATGGTGGAATCGGGGGAAAAATACTGTCGTTTGGTCGTTGATATCCAACAAAAGAATGATGACATCAAAAGCTTGAACCAAAGAACACAAGTCAAGGTGGCGTGTCATTCTGAGTTGCACATGCTGAACCTCCTAAAAAGTCAAGGTGTAAAGCCTACCATTCTCTTTGTTTCGAAGCTGTGCTGTGCGTTGTGCTATAATCATATCACTACAATGAACATGCTTAATGGGCAAAACGTGATTGTTGAGGGAACAAATGGGAAGATCTATGATGGTTGGAGAATACCTGAGGAGCGACATGCAAAGCAAGCTGCAGAGTACCTCATTACAGATGTGTTGAAAAGGCAGTTTCGCCAATTTGGGGCTGAAGGTAAATGCTCAGGCACCAATAGTATCTATCACCAGCGCAAGGTCGGACTGGGACATTCCGAAAAAAATGTTTGACTTTTAGAAAAGGCGTAGCTTCACAGGGATTATCAAACAATATAAATATTTAGAATGGTAATCACATACTAAATGTCAATATCCCTGTAATCCCACCAAAGCTGTTACAATAAATATCATCAATAACATTGTCTGAGCCTCAAATGTTATTGTAAAAAATGTACTTACTTTTAGTCGTTTGTCTTGACTAGCTTCTGCAGTTGTTGAAACACTTCATGCACACGCTGCTTGTCTACAATCATATTCACTTTGTATACCCACATCTTGTAGTTTCTTCTTTTAAATTCCCTCAGCTCGCTGCTTTCGTCTGAAAGGTCACTTTGGTCCGAGTCGTTTTCACTTTCTACAGAATTCGTCACTTCCGTAGAACTAAAAGTATCATCAGAATGCTCTGATGTTGTGTCCGTCGCGTTTTCCCGTTCTTGTAAAGCTTTCTTTATGTCTTTCATTGACAACGCCCGCGGAGCAGAATTATCTGTTTGTGACTCAATGGAGAAATATAAAACAAATTCGGTATTGTCTTCAAATAATACTGCTGGGTCAACCAATTTTACAGCAAATCCGTCAACTTCGTATCCCCTCCTTCAAATCCAGATGATTTCTCCGTTTCTGGACTGGGTATGGTTCGCGTCTGGTTGCTCACAAAGGACGCGTTGTAGTAAGAAGGATTAGAAGTAATTTAATATGTTAGCTTCAATTTAGATTATAATATAATCGGTAATACCATGAACTCGTACAAACGCTCAAAGTGCGGCTCGTCGTACTTTAAGCATACCTCGATTGAAAAGTGCAAGCGAGCGGGGCAGGGACCGTGATGTGACTTGAATGCTTTCGAACGTCCAAGTTTTCTCTAACTTTGAACTTTGCAGTCTTGTGGCGATTCCTTGCCAGGTACGTTACAGATGTGCTAGAGCGATCATGTTTTGGAGCATCAAGTTGGAGCTCCTGCATGATCAGTACTAACTCATCTTGCTCTCAGGCTCTCTAATCAAAGGTACCTTTGAAGAAACCAAGACGCCATGGTGGGTGGCGAATTTGATGAGACGACATTCCTCCCCCAGCTGCGACCGCTCAACCAACATTGAAGCCTCTCAATATCGTCAAAGGCGAGCTTCCTTCATATACAGCAGCACCCATGAAGAACGCCATGACATTCAAAAGACAAAAGACATCAAAAGCAGACTCGAATTCCACGTCACCGTCAGTGATGCCAAAGCTACCTACAAGCGTCTCGGGCGTGATTCTGAACTACGCTTGTCCATCCCTCCACTCTTTGAATCAGTCTATTGGACTTGGAATTCGATAGCATTCAAGGCGAACTTCTTCAACAGCCCTATCGCAGTTCTCCGCGCTATCACTTGTTCATCAAGCAAATATTACCGCTACATCGATTGTCCCGCTGTGATCAACCATATCGTCACCCATCACCGCCAAGAGAGCGCCACACTCTAATTTGTTTGGGTTCCTAGAGTGAATGCCATTATGAGGGACTACAACAATACCTTCGACAAAGCTAAAATTGTGAGAGCGCTCAACGCAGTATTTCGCCCGTCATATATACAAAACCTGTCGCCAGCAGTTAAACATGCTTTGGACTGCGGAGATTTGTATCTGGTTCTCGCGTTGCTTCGAATCGACTCGATTGATGGAATGAGTGGAGCTGAAGTTCGTCAGTTGGTGCAAAGCAAGATGACGATTGATGTCGCAAATATCAAAGGCTGGTTTTCGAAAAGGCATTATCACCTCGAGTTTCTATGCGATGAGTACAGCGTGGATCATCCCGATATCTTCAAAAGCTTTGTAGACGCTATCGAATTTGGCTTAGCGCTGCCAATCTTCTCCAGTCTTGTTAGCGGGAAGTCTTTTCACCAACTGCTTTCAAGACTTAGGGTTATTTCACCAACTGCTTTCAAGACTTCCACCATCACTAGCAAGAATCGAAACATGGAGATAGCCGCGCATCTTCTTGAACTGGAAGGCATTTTCGTTTCGAAATTGGCTATGACTGGCCTAAGATCCAAAGTGTTAGCAGGAATCATAGATGCTTGTGGATATCATACAAGAATAGATGGACATAACAAAATTGAAGATGGATATGTGATCCCTTTACGGTGTATCCCTTCGTTGGATGATGACGTTGTGTTTATATGTCGTTCTCTGGGGCTAAAGCTTAAGGTAACAAATATTGATGGTGGTGAGTATGGTTTTATGGTGGATGGGAATCAATTTTCTATTGGGTGATTTACCCACAATAGTCTGATGAGTGCGTTGGTGTTCGCTGAAATAATGAGTATGCATATTTCAAGCGAGCTTGTGCAAGAGTATGCTAAATGGCTTGTGTGGCAAGGGATGTTTGAGGAGTTGAACAATCAATTTCAAGTTTCTTATCAACAATATAAAATGCTAAATGTATTAAACTTAATGTATAAAAAGAAAGAATTTGAATCGAGAGGAACACTTACATGAACACTTACAAGACACACAAATGGTAAATTTACAAGCACTTTTTTGTTGTTTAAAGGACACGATAACCAACGGAGACACTTCCACCGAGCGGGTTGACAGTATCCAAGTCCTTGAGAACAACACTACATGATCCATATGTAACATTAGAAACAAAAACAGAAGGGGATCCTTGAGTTGCAGTTATAGAAATTCATCATTATCTCCTTTGTTAGGAGGAGTTTTTGCGTTTGGGAGACTTGCGCTTAGCAGACTTGTATGACCTGCGGGTTACGCATGCCCCCCTGGCGGACGCGAACCGCCGACTTTCTGTTCCTTAAAAGGAAAATTGGAAAAAAAAAATGCCTCCTGCCAGGTTCGAACTGACGACCTTCCGCTTACGAGGCGGATATTATACCACTAAACTAAAGAGGCACACTGTCTGATACGGAATATGCTCGAATCATCTTTCACCTTTCAATTATCTTTCTTTTAAGTTCTATTTTCTTCCATAAAATCC